CTTTAGACCACTGAGCCATCTCTCCAGCCCCCCTTGTCTCTCTTAATCAGTCTGGGCTTGAAATTCACTTTGTCTACAAATAGAATAGCTACCCCAGCCTTTTTTCTGGGTTCCTGTGTTCTGGAATGCTGTTTTCCAGCCTTTCACTTTTAGCCTATGAATTTCTTTCGAATTAAATGTTTTTTGTATGCAGTGCGTTGTTGGATCTTGCTTCTTAATCTGTCCTGCCAGTTTGTTTCTTTTGGTTGGTGAATTGAAACAATATTGATTTTTTAATTTTTATTATTATTATTTTTTTTTTTTTGTGGTACCGAGGATTGAACTCAGGACCCTGAGCTTGCCAGGCAAACACTTATTCTACTGAGCTATTTCCCCATCCCCACTATTGATGCTTTAACTGATACCTATTGACTTATCCTTGTCATGTTATCTTTTTTTTTACTTAGTTTTCTGAGTTTTAGTTACTTTTCTCTCCTTGCTGAGACAATTCTCCATGTCCAAAATTAGGGAAGGAAAGGTTTACTTAGCTCATGGTTTGTGGAAGTTTCAGTCTGTAATCAGTTGGCTGCAAGGCAGGATGGGGTAGCACAGTTGCAACAGGTTAAGATAGCAGAAGACAGCAAAAGCAACGAGAGCACAAGGGGAGGAGAGCAAGCCTCTTTGCCTCCCTTATATTCTAATCAGACTACCACCCCAGCACCATCTCCATGCCCTCCTCTTGCACAGGCTTAGGGTGTTTACAGCGTGAGCACCCCAGCCCTCTTTGAGTCACTTAGTTAAACTTCTAAACTTCTTAAGTTGACACAGTATATTAACCGTTACACCCCCCTGTTTAATTGTTTGCTGTTCCTGGTGGGTTCTTTCTGTTGGGGTTCATGGAGTTGGGGTTCAATTGTGGTCTTTGTTCTCTCTTTCTAGACTGTCTTTCGGAGTATTTTAGGAGTGCTGGTTTGGTATTTGTGAATTTCCTCAGGTGTTCTTTGTTGTAGAAGTGTCTTATTTCTCCATCAATTTTGAAAGATAGTTTTATGGGGTACATCACCCTGAATTGGCGGGTGTTTTCTTTTAAGGCTTGAAATACTTCACTCAAAGCTTTCCTTGACTTGAGAGTTTGCATTGAGAAGTCAGCTGTGATTCTGATGGGTTTTCCTTTGTAGGTGATTTGTTTCTTTTCTCTTAACAGCTTTTAAAATTCTGTTCTTGTGTTGAATTTCTGAAGTCTTGACTGTGATATGCCTAGCTGTAGATTTCTTTCTGATCATGGCTAATTGGAATTCTGTGTGTCTCACTTACCTATATGTCAAGTTCTTTTTTCTCAGCAGGGATGTTTTCTGCCATGACTTCTGTGAATAGGTTTTTTGGTATCATTTGTGCTGTCTCCTGCTTTTTTTTTTTTTATTGATTCCAGTCAATCTTACGTTACTTTTCTTTGGATCATCTCTGCTAGATTGATTGCTTGTGGTTCCTTGCTGTTTGTAAGAAATCTTTCTTTGCATGATCACTACTTGTCTTCTGTATCTGAGATTCTGTCCTCACACTGGCTTATTCTGCTTTGGACGCTTAATGGAATTTTTAGTCTCCTGGATGTCTACTGAATCTGTTGTATGCATTCCATTCCTTTCTATGTTGGACAGTCATGATTTCCATCATTTTCCTAAATTCTTTTTTTTAAATCTGCATCTGTTGTAGAGTCACTAAGCGTGTTTTTCTTTGTCATCATCTCGGTAGTTATTTGTGAAATTATTTTTGATTTTTTTCCAGAGCTCGTTTGCTTTGTGGTTACTTTAGAGAGGCTAAGTGGATGGCTTTTGGGTTGTCCCATCTCATTGCCCCCTGAGTTTGGGGTTGCATCTTGTTTAGATGTCTTCTCATTTTCTTTCTTTTAGTTTAATTTCTAGGTTGAGGCCTGTTTATTGCCTGTGGTGAGTTGCTTTATTGCTAGTATTTAGAACCCTTAGGAAATGACTACTACTCTGAGGTGTCTTCCAGGTGTAGCTGGATTTTGGGCTCTGAGTCTGTGGCAAGGTCCTCTGTCTTCAATTTGTTGGGATGAGAAGTTGCTGTCTGGTTGGCCCAGCCCCTTGATCTTTGGTCCTTGCTCATAGTATTTTCTATGACTTTGAGATGGTGTTAGTCTTGGAATATCAGGAAGAACAGCTGCTTAGAACCATTATGTCACTTTGGTTAAAGTGGTGTAATCAGCAATAACTAGCATCACAGCCTAGAAAATAAAAAGCTGACATGACCATTAATTTATAATTATAACCATATAACAACTTACAACCATAAACTACATTTTATGGTTATATAGAAAAATCTAAAACCAGAAAATTATATTAAATAAATAAGCCCTTAATATGCCAACTTTACCCTCAGAGGAGAAAATTTAAAAGGGATTAAGGAAAAAGATAAATAGACGACTAGAAGCAAGGCTGGAAGACAAAGGAGAATCATGCAAACTTTGGGAAGCTGATACAGAAGACAGGATGGAGAGAAGGAAGAAATAAAAGGAGGAACAAAACATAACCACAAAGGAACTGGAAATCACATTCATAAAAACAAGATCAAACAGTGAAGGAGAGGAAAGAAGAGAGGGAGGGACCAAAAAATGTGCACTTTGGGATTTTTCTCTGTTGTTACTCATAGACAGTGTGTGAAGATGGGTCCAGATCTGTGTTCATTTATCCCAGCTGGCCAGCCGTAGTTTTATGGTGGCATAGTGGCTAATCTTAGGGGGCCTGAATCTTTATTTCCCTTGAAGTTCAGGCTGATTTCTGGCAGTGAGGCTGGGACCAGACCCGTTGAGCCTGCTGTTGTCAGTGTGCCTTCCTTGGTCTTGAACTCATTTAGGAGCCACTAGATGGACCCAGCAGTTTCTTTGAGTTCTGAGTTCATTTGGCCCCTTTCCAAGATGGTTTCTGGCCAGTTGTCCTCTCCTGTGGGATGTCAGATTCCATAGCACTCAACACCAGCTAGTGCAGTCCTCCATGTCCACAGTTCCTTTCCCCCTGCTGCCCCTTTCTGCTGCATCTCTCTCTGGAGGCGTCTGTTGGTGCCAGCAGTCACCAGTGTGTCTGCGGATTTGAGCTGCCCCTCCCATGCGGGAGTCCTAACTCAGGGAGAAGACTTTCCAGCTACCTCCTCCTCCTTTGAAGTTTCTCTCTTTGCTCTTCCTGTGGGCTTCAGTTCTCCCTTCAGATCCATCCTGGGTCCAGGGGTCCACTTACCTCCTCTTTCCTTGTGTTGCTGTATTCCAGTGTCTGGAGGGTCTCTAAGAGGCTTTGTCTGCTGTTCACCATACCACCATCTTCCCGGAAATAGAATGTACCATTTTTGAGCCAAACTGAATGTAAATTTCCGTTCTGCCACTTCATGTATAATTATGGAGAGATTACTTTTGACCTTTCTGCTTCACTTACCTGTAAAATGAGGATACTCTACTTCATTGGGTTATTGTAAGAATTAAATTGAGTTTTTACAAGTGAAGTTTAAAACAGTCTGCTTGTGGTACTCAGTAGATATTAGCTATTATTAGCAGTTCATGAATGGTATTTAAATCTGTGAAATCAGATGTGATAACCTAGAGAATGAGTATAGGTAGAGAAAATGACCAAAAAGGCACTGTGAAACAATATACAGCATTTGAATTTAGCCACTGTGGAAGGGGAAGACTGAGAAGGAGGGAAAAGCATCTGGGAAGGTGTAATGGACAGAACTTTGCCTAGAAAAGAAAATACTTCATGGGAAATATGTCATCAACTTGAACAAATTCTGCTTGCAGTAAGGATGGAGAAATGACCAATGGGCTTGCTAAGGTGGAGGTTGTTGGAGACCTTGAAAAGTAGTTTCAGTTGAGTGGTAAGGGTGTAAGTCTGATTAATTAGAATGGTGAAGGAAAAAATTGGAGACAGCACAAATAGGTGACATACAGGAGTTTTGCTCTAAGGAAGAGTAGGAAAAATGGAGTAGTAAAATAAAATAAGCGAGGTCAAGAAAAGGTAGAGGTGAGGACAGATGTTAATTTAAATATAAAAAGTACAGCAAGTTTTTATGCTGTTAGGAGCGATCCACTGAGAAGAAAAATTAGTGACCTTTGGGTGGTAGGGAAATTGTAGTAGCCGTGACCTTGAATAGGTAAAATAAAATGGGAAGAATCTCTGAGACTTTGGTAGAGACATTTCATCCTTTGGTGAAGACAAGGAATATTAGTAGAGGTGTGGATAGTTTGGTAGATTTTGGCTCTGGAAATAGGGAGTAATTTTTTTCTGCTTGTGGGGGAGGATCATCAGCTGAGAGAACTAGGGAAGGGCTTGTAATGTTGGAGAGAGCAGAGGTGATGTTGAAAGAGACATTTTGAAAGATGGGGAGGATGAATTGACTGGGAAGATCTAGCAAGCAGATTGTCAAGAGTTCAGAAGGCCTTTTTGGCATTTGTTCCACATCATTAGCTTAACAATTTGAATTGGCCAAGGAGGAAAGTATAGTCTTGAGGGGATATATAGTTGAAAAGGTTGTGAACTTTTCTGCTTTTGCTTTGAATCTCTTTAATTTCTGTGACTTAAAAGAATTGCTTGTGGAACATTCCTCAAATCCACAGGGAGGCAGTCACAGAGAAATTGAAAAAAAAAAAAAGAAAATTGGTTCTAGGTCCAAAAACATAACTTCATTTTGCCCATGTTCAGTGGGTGGGCGTATCTTGGTGAGTTACTACAAATACCTGTGTTGCCATCTCTCCTTGAATATACCAGTTTTACACAAACATTATCGAACAGGTTCTGGGTTACTTTCAATAGATAACAATTTGTTACTGAATTACGTAAAGAAAGCAATATTGTCTATGAGCGCTAACTGAACGGTCTTTCCTGATTGACATAAAAGCCTCACCAGGAGTTTCCCTAGGACCTGTGCTTTCCATTAACATAGAATTATTACTCGTGTTGATTTCATACTTTTGTTTTTGATTACAGAGAAATTCATATTTTAATTTTGTTTTCTTTCAGGTGCTGGAGAATCGGGTAAAAGTACCATTGTGAAACAGATGAAGTAAGTTGGAACTTGGCCTTTTATAAGCCTAGATTTCCTCCTAATGTGTGAAAATTCTGTAGTATATTTTCACTTTAGGTTCATGGTATTGACTTGTGGCTTTCTTCTTAAAGAATCATTCATGAAGATGGCTATTCAGAGGAAGAATGTAAACAGTATAAAGTAGTTGTCTACAGTAATACTATACAGTCCATCATTGCAATCATTAGAGCCATGGGACGGCTAAAGATTGATTTTGGGGAACCTGCCAGAGCAGTAAGTATTTCTGTTTCCTGTCCACTTTGATTTTATTATGTAGATACAGTTAAGCAAAGTTTGTGTCATGATTTAAAGAAATGAATTTAAGCAACAAGCTGAGATATTCCAGAGTACTGTGTGATCATTTGAGAAGTGTCAGCAATTTGCTTTCGAAGATACAGCTTTAGATTACAAGGAGAGTTGAGGAAATGGGATTATGTGGATATACTGTAGGTTTCTGTAATGAGTGTTGCCTTCACTTTCTTATAGCACCGATGATTTTTATAATAACAGTAATAATTGTAAACTAAAATAATCTGAAGAAATGTTCCTGTGATATGTATCTCTACCTTTCAAGAGGTCAAGATACATGTCATGGGAACATTTCTTTAGACTATTGGTGGAGATTAAGGCAAAAACCAGTCTCCAAATAGAAATTTGGTAATGACATAAGCACTGAGCCCAAATTACAGAATAGATTTTCAGGTGTTCAATCATATTATATCCCTGTATTACATCAGACCATATGCTGCAGAATTGGATTATACCATATCCTGCTATAAATTTTTAATGCATTGGACATACCAGATATTTAAAAGTTGCATTGGTGGGGCCCGGGAGATAGCTCAGTAGAATTAAGTGCTTTCCTGGCAAGCGCAAGGACCTGAGTTCAATCCCCGGTTCCACACAAAAAAAAGTTGCATTGGTTAATTATATCAATTAGTTGACCTTGAAGATCTAGTTTGTAAATTAGGATGCTTGATGCCATTGAAGAGAATGACAAGACAAAGGCAGGAGATCTTTATATTATCCGTTAAGTTTCAAAACAAGCTAAGAAAGTGTAGAATTATTTTCTAGAACTTAATGGTGTCATTAACTGTGTTCCATGTGTCGTACTTGGGTATCGTGGGAAAATAAGAGGAAGTGACTTAGAGAATTAGCTTAGGAACTCTTTCAAGCTATATGACTTATCAGTAAATAAGCAGGAAATTGTTGAAAGGAAAAGTACTAAAAGGGTAGTCATAGCTGGATGGTATTAGGCTAGGAAATATCTTAGAAGTGGTGTAAAGAAAGAGAAGTTAGATTGAATGTGGTAAATAATGGGAGGGAATAGTGGCAAAAATGAAAATGGGAAATCCGTCAGTGTGAATTTTTGAATTTTTGTAAAGAGGTTTATGAATCGCATAATGTAGAGGGGTTTTTTGGTGGGAGAGGCTATGCTGGGGATTGAAGCTGGGGTCTGATGTGCTCCCAGTCACCTAACTTCTCTGCTGTATCTGTGGCACCTAATGATTGGTCAGTAGTAGTGTGTTTATTTTCTTCCCTTTTTTTGTTGGCTTTTTATCCATATTAGTTAACTTCTTAGTTTCTGTTTTATCCTTTTGCATTTTTTCTTTTCTTTATTTATTTTTACATTTATTTATTGTGTGTGTGTGTGTGTGTGCGCGCGCGCAGCTCAGCCCACCAGGGGGCGGGGCTGGCTGGCATGTGGTGCTGGGGGATCGAACCGCGGTCCTTGTGCTTTGCCAAGCTTGTTCCAAGTAGGTGCTTTAGACCACTGAGCCATCTCTCCAGCCCTGCATTTTTTTCTTGGTGTCTCCTTTATTTTTCCCTTTCATTTATTTCCTTTATCAAATGTGTTGTCATTAATGTTTATATTGTGATACTCTATTACTAGATGCAGTTGATGTCATTAATCCTTCTCAGGCCTCATTTAGCTTTCCAGGATCTGCCTGTTCCAATCTACACTTCTATGTAATTTAAGTTTTTTTCTTTTTATATGTGAGGATTTATATTTACAGTTCTTCTTTTCCTCTTTTTTTTATGGTTAATTAGAAAGTGAATGAAAAAGAGTAGAGCTGGGTGTGGGATAGGATCCTTTTTCATATCTGTTTAAGAATGTAAGTAGTGGGCCAGGGATGGAGCTCAGCAGCAGAGCCCACCAGACAAGCGCAAGGCCCTGAGTTCGATTTCTGATACCAAAAAAAAGGAGTACTATAATGATGTTCATTGTAAAGAGGGGTCTCCTTGTAGAGAGTAGTGAGTGGGGAAGCAAGAGCTTGTTGGTGAAAGAGATTAGAAGTCCTAAGGGAATGTTTGCAGCTGGGACAGCAAATATATGTATGATAGCTTGCTCTGTTGAAGTTCTAAAACTAAAGTAGTGTCACGCTGTTAAGAAAATAATTTTTAATGAGGTTATTTGAATGTCTGCATGAGTGTAGATCCGATTTCAAAATCAAGGGATTATAAAATCTTCCAGTGTTAGGTGGAACAGTATACAGTGCCATGTATTTTGAAGAATTGGCTCACTGTTGTGTTGGCACTTCGTATAATGCTTAAATTTTTCTCAGCTATTCATTCCTTTATTAATTTTTTTTTTTATCTTTATGGGCTGATAGCTCAGTCATAGAGTGTTGTCGTAGCATACACAAGGCCCTTGTTTGATCCCTAGCACCACCAAAAAGTGGGGAGTGGGGGGGAGGAGGTGCATTAACTTAGAAAGGAGAGAATGGGGGAATATAGATCTTAGACGGAGACTTTTAAAGAAAGCTCAGCCTAAAGTATTACTAGTGAGAGTACAGGGCAGGGTCTTAATGAGGAAACATCACTAAGCAAAAGCTGTAAGACTGAAGATCTAGAGCTTGGGAAAATTCACTTGAGTCTATGGTGGGTATTTTGTTTTGGTTAGGTAGATGCACAAGTTTTTGCTGTGCTGCACAGGTTGTAGGAGATCTTAGTAGTGATTTCATTTGTGGCCTGAAATGGCCTTTGCGTATTTATTTTGCTTTGATGACTGGTTAAGATACGGATTCCTTTCCTCTTTACTTTTTTTTTTCACAGTATGTAGGTGTGTGTGCTTTTTAAAATATCTTTCGTTTTTATAGTTAGTAGATTAGGTTAGGGAAACTATTCCTTGAGAATTGTATTTATCTTTATCAAGCATGAATGGATACATTAAAGCAAAACAGTGGAAATTCTAATAGCTGTTTCCTGACCTCTGCGCCTCAACATATTTTTTAGGCTTCTCATACTTCTGAAGAGGATTGTATCTATGACTTGTGACATTTGATCATGTTTTTATTTTTGTTTGTTTCTTTTCCTTTTACATACTCTTAAAGCATTATTCCTTTGGGGGAAATAAACGGACTGAATCTTTCCTTTAGGGACTTATTCCCACTAGGCTTCCAGAGGCTTCTTCTGTGCCTCTTCTCCTCTTCTTCCTTTTGTGCTGTGGGCTGAAGGGGAAGAAGAAAGTAACTTTTCTTTTAAATTTGATTGTTTTACCCACCTCTGACATGTGTAGATCTTACCTCTTAGGTGCTGGTCTTTTTATTTAAAACTATTTTTAAATTTTTTTATTTTGGTACAGGGTCTTGCTATGTAGATCAAATTCATAGTGATTCTCCTGTCTCAGCCTCTCCAGCCCTGGGATTACAGGCGTGTGCCACTACACCCAGTTTTGGGGATTGGCATAGTGTGTCCAGGACAGCACCGGCAGGACATGTGGTACCAGGGATTGAACCCTGGTCTTTGCACTTTTCCAAGCAGGCGTGTAGACTACCTAGCTACCTCCCTAATCCTGTGCTAGTCTTTCTGTTTCTATTTTTATTGTCTGCATCCTTTAACAGAATGGGAACATATTTTTACGTTTTTTCTCAGACCATTTTTTTTCTGTCAGTCATGAGTAACCAGGCTAGAGGTTTATGGGCCAGTCTGAAAAGATCTTTAGAGAATGATGGTGCTGTATGGAGAAAGAGAGCCGCAGATCGCTTTTCCTCCAAGTTCTAGGCTTACAATTGTGGGGAGTGAAAGGGGAGAGAATTATAAATTCTTTCATAGTGCCTTGTCTGGAAAGGTTTAAAGTACAGTGTGACTATTATGCATGTATGTATAGAGCCTCTCTTTAAGTCTTAAAGAAAAAGAATCACCTGTGTGTCTTTCTCTCTTAACTGCTTTCTTCAGGATGATGCTCGGCAATTATTTGTTTTAGCTGGCAGTGCTGAAGAAGGAATCATGACTTGAGAACTAGCAGGGTTGATTAAACGGCTATGGCGAGATGGTGGGGTGCAGGCATGCTTTAGCAGGTCCAGGGAATATCAACTCAACGATTCTGCTTCATAGTAAGTGTTTTTCTTTGAAACTATAACAGAAAATAACTTGATGACCCTAGGGAAAGTTCAGTGCCCCCATCCTTAAGGAAATGTTTAAGTCATCAAAAGTCTTAAAACTCTAGAGCACCCTTTATTAAGATTGTCTCAGTGGGGCCAGGGAGATGGCTCAGTAGAATGCCTGGCAAGCACACAGGCCTGAGTTCAATCCCTGGTTCTGCCCCACCCCTCAAAAAAAAAAAAAAAAGATTGTCTCAGTTTAGAATGACAGAGGCTTAGGTTGTTTATAAGGCTTGGCAGAAGAAAGTTTCCTCTTGGAATAGAGGGTAAGTTGAAAGTTTGCCACCAAAAAATTAGCCCCATGATACATTTACAGTGAGTGAGGATGCGCTTGCTTCAGCAGCGCAGGCACTGTAATAAGAAAGTGAGGAGAAATGCCCAGTATAGTGAGGTGCTGGATTTCTTCCCACTCCATAAGCCCCATCTGTTGAACGGGTTGGCACTGATTACTCCCTAGCCATCTAGAGAGGGAAGTTAAAATCATGACGTCCCTTTTCTTTTCTTTTCTTTTCTTTTCTTTCTTTTTTTTTTTTTTGCGGAACTGGGGATTGAACTCAGGCCCTTGCGTTTGCCAGGAAAGCACTTATTCTACTGAGCCATCTCCCTGGCCCCTCAAGCGCTTATTCTGCTGAGCTATCTCCCCGGCCTTTTCTTGCAACCAACTTTCTGCATGTAAACTGCCCCTTGAGTTTCTTTGGCACTGCTGACCACTTAACCATTTTTTTTTGGCCAGTTTATAATAGTAGGGTGTATAGAAAGAGAATGTTGAGTCATAGAGTGAAGTTCAAAGTATGTTTGTCAAGGAAATTCTTTTGGGTGTTAGTTTTAGAGGATAATTAATAACTTCAGCTACTACAGGTGATCTCATATTGATCCTTTATGTGTATTTGCTTATAAGACTTTTCCAGTGTGCTGGGGGTGGGGAGGCTGGTGAGCACATGCTGCTTGCAACCCTCTTTGTACTAGATGAAAGTGCTTTTAAACATTAAGGTGTTTTCTCCAGTATTATTTTTCCTACTCTCCTCATCTTCATTCTATGATTATTTGTATAAAAAAAGAAATAGATAATTACTAAGATTAACTTAATTCTGTTAGTGGAAAAAACTCTGAAGACATTTCAGGGTTTTTACTGACGTAAAATAACTTCAGTTATAGATATTGGTAACGGGTGTTTTTTCTAGTGATCATAAAAGTATATTTTTATAGCTTTTTAAAAAGCATGTATTTGGGGCCGAGGAGATGGCTCAGTGGAATAAGCACTTCACTAGCAAGCACAAGGGCCTGAGTTCAATCCCCGGTTCCACAAAAAAAAAAAAAAAAAAAAGCATGTATTTAATAAGCTTAGAATTGTTTAATCACTACATGTGGTTCATGGAGTTGTGTGCCCTCCCTACTATTTTTTCCTCTAAGCTTTATTTTTTAACATTAATGATAGTGTTTGCTTTTATAGATCTTTAATGATTCATTTATATTTGTGTCACTTGGTTTTCCTAATTCTAGCCTACAGTCAATGAAGAATTTAGTTTTGAAGCAGCCTACTTATTCCACTGAACAAATTAAACTTTGTTTACAGTTTGTCTATGAGTTACATTTCAAAAACAGTTGGGTTATAGCTCATTTTTTGAACGCTTGCCTAGCATGTGCAAGACCCTGGATTTGATCTCTAACTGCAAAAAACAACCGGGCCTAAGAACATAATTTCCATGAAAATGGAAACTATTCATTCTTTTTCAGTATGATTCTCTTAATTTAGGTAATTCAGATACCATTCTTGAATGTTCTGTCAGGTAGTTAAACAGCACATGAGCTGTTTGCTTAAGTGTAATACTAAAGATCTAGTTTTGTTCTGCCACTATGGTGACAGGTTCAGAATCTACTTTTGATGAAGAACTAATTTGTTAACTTGCCGTGCACATAACTGGCTTTACCAGGTTAATAACAAATGTGTATTTTATTTAGTTACCTAAATGATTTGGATAGAATATCACAAACCAACTACATTCCAACTCAGCAAGATGTTCTTCGGACCAGAGTGAAGACCACAGGCATTGTGGAAACACATTTCACCTTCAAAGACCTATACTTCAAGTAAGTCATTATCCTTTTTGCTGAATGTGCATAACACAAATATTTTTCCTTTAGTTAGCATCTCTTAACCAGGATAAAATTTCTCTAGCCAGTATTCTTTGGCATAGAAACTTAGCGTATTCATTAGCCATTATCTGAATGTTCTAACTGATTGGGAGCTTAAACATTCCTTTTTTTTTTCCTACAAATAGCACCAATATTTGTGTGTATTTGAAAGAAATAAAATTTAAATTGTAGCTTACCTACTAATGGAATTAATCATTACCAGTTTGTGGGTTTACTTTTATTCTTTTCAGCTTTTTTATTGTGAAACGGGTGTTAAATATTTGTTTAGGAGGGTAGCAACACCATGGATAGAAAATTGGTTTTTTGGTCCTCGGCACCAAAACTAAAAAATAAACCTCTCTTTAAAAAAAAAAAAAAAAAAAAATCAACCAAAAAAATATGGTAAAATCAGAAAACACCAAAAACAAGGCAACAGAAAATTGGTTTTTTACTTGGTTATGTGCCTTTATTCTGATTTTTTAATATTAAAATCCAAATACTTAATTGTCACTTTGATTGAAGTTCAATGACATAAAGCTCCTGTTGGCATGCTGTTGGATTGATTTGGGCATAGTGTTATGTACCACTAAGTTTTTAACAGAATGGAAAATGGGCTTGAGGTTGGAGTTACTTGGGTGCACTGTGATGACCTAAGCAGTGACTGGTTTATAAAGAGAAAATTTTGGTATTCCGAAACAGAATTTTCTCATAGCATCGGTTATGCTAATGCAGAGCTTGTATCTGTGTCAATGGATGTGTATAAATACTAGAACTGTTTTTGATTTCCATTTTCTGTTTTTGTGACATTTGCTATTAGGAATAGATCTTTTCAGTACATGGTGTACCTTTTAGTTCAGTATGCTTATATGTAGAATTTGATAGCAGTATTGCGTACAAAGGTAATTGCTACCTCAAATTTTCTCAGGTTTCTTTTCTCTGAGAACAGTCAATCTCCTGCTCTTAGGAAATCTACACAGGATTTATATATTACTAGGTGCCCCTTGAAGTCTTGAAGTCTTAATGCACCAAACCAAGTTTGAAACCCAGTACAGGATAATAGCAGTTCACTTGAATATGTTTAGATAGACCGCCTGCTTTTTAGATAGACAGATGAATTTAACAGGTGCAACCAAGATCACATGGGTTGTCCTTGAAACCACAGGAGTGAAATGTTGTCTTTGGTACTATAAAATTAGTGATTCATTTATAATTGAATCTTGTGATTATTTAGTGTGGGAAGCTTTTGTTGATGTTGTACATTGATCTCTAGGTAAATCTTGTCTTTCTATGCTGAGGTCAGTAGCCAAATCACAGTGCCATACCCACTTTATTATTGGCATGTAGATGTCTTGTAATAAAGTACTATCACTTCTTCCTTTTCCTCTTCTCTCTAGGCAAAACCACTATCCATTTATTCAAACATTTATTGAACCTCTACCATATGCAAGTCATTGTGTAATTTCTTACTTGCCTCTCAGTTATGAGGTAATGTTTATAAAATGTTGATCTGTCAGTGAACGATACTATAGATGTTAATATGTACTGAAGGCCTGTCCACCTTGGAACTTCACAGTGCTCTGCCAGTTTTATGGACTTTATAAAAGAAAATGGAGTAAGCTGAAGTTATTGGTATACTGGTGTGTCTTCCCTTGAAAGATTTCCATGTGAAATCTTAACACAAACCTATAGCATGGCTCTGTGTTAAAGCCAAAATGTGATTGCATCATTCCAGGTATCCCACATGACCAGAAGTTGAAAAGAACTGTGTAAGATCAACTAAAAGGAAGAGTTGGGTCATGAAGTGATAAGATGAATATTTGCTTTCAGGCATACATTGAGAAATCACCAACTATGTCTTATTTCTTTCAGTCTTAGGGAGAAATAATCCCTGGAAATTTAAGCTCCTAATTACTATAGATCTGACATACTAAACCAGTACAGGAGAGTTTTGCTTTTGAAATTTTATCATTAGTATTAAGTATACATCTTAAGAGTAACTATTAGCATGCATGTCTCATCAAATTCCCAAGTATGAGCTAAAAACCAAAGCCATGCAGGTACCCCTTTCCCTTTAGGAAGTAAATGAATATACTATTGACAGACATTCAGCATATTAGAAGAGGGTAGTGGAATGAAACAAATCTGGAGTAGAACATGAAGTATTAAGGCTTGTAAGTAATTAGATTCGAGTAAGACTTGGAGTTGATTATTGGTTAAGAATTATTAAGTTAATGAGTTCTTTGAGTTTTGCTATTATAAGATATATCATTATTTCATAATTTCTTTCTAAAATATTTTTCCTTAACATATGGAAAAACCTTGGGAACTAGTAGAAGTTAGGAAGCAGAATGCAAGATTTAGAGGGAAGTCATTCTGAGAGGCAGAGTAGACAGTGCCTGAGTCCCAATCCCTGGTCTCATTGGTAATGTGTCTTTTGGCAAATTATTTATTTATTTTTTTTGGGGGGGCAGAACCAGGGATTGAACTCAGGCCCTTGCGCTTGCCAGGGAAGCACTTATTCCACTGAGCCATCTCCCCGGCCCTTTTGGCAAATTATTTAACGTACCTGTGACTTAATTTCTTCATCTGTAAAGTGGGGATTGTAATAATAGTACTCAGGAGAGTGCTAGGATAGTGAGTGAATGTTTGAAATACCTAGTGTCTGGCATTGTAGTAAACAATAAATGCTAGCTGTTATCATGATTGCTCTGAAGCTGTGCTACAGCAGCTCGGTTTTCCTTTCTTTCCCCCTCCTTCCTTGAATCCATTTCAGTGCTTATGGTGCTGACTTTTGGCATGTCCAATACAAGTTTTGTTAGACTCCACTATCCAAAATGAGAAACTAGATCATTTCTAAATTTTAGCTTTTCATTTACTTTTAGTTGTATTTATCTGCTCTTTGTCTTTTCTATCGTAAGCGAAGTTTTGAATATGTAATAATGGGATATTTTCTAATCATTACAATTAGAGGTATAAATGTGACCTTGCTGACTTTGTACATTTTTTTTAACCTAGGATGTTTGATGTAGGTGGCCAAAGATCAGAACGAAAAAAATGGATTCACTGTTTTGAGGGAGTGACAGCAATTATCTTCTGTGTGGCCCTCAGTGATTATGACCTTGTTTTAGCCGAGGATGAGGAGATGGTATGTTGAAGCTTCTGGGTAAAAATCTTCTGATGCAGCCAGAAAAGGAAAACTTAACTTGTAGGAAAATTGGGGGCATCTGTTTATTGATTAAACTAAAACTCGATATCCTTAGTTTTTTTCCTTATTATTTAGATCAGATTTTCAAATTGATGTTCCATTCCCTACTGCTCTTGAAGAGATGTGATAGCCATGTTGAATATGTGGGCAACATTTAGTCCTTTTGTCAGCCAGTCCTTGTTACTTTTCAGTCCCACAGAATTACAGAAATCAGGACCAACTCTGCTTTGTGGTATTAGTGCCTGGTGTATTGCCATGAATGCCATTCATTGCTTTAAACCTGTTGATCTCATTTTCATTAAATGAATCCACTTTCACTTTTTGCCATTAATCTGTCTTCTTTTGATTTCTTTTCAGAACCGAATGCATGAAAGCATGAAGCTCTTTGACAGCATTTGTAACAACAAATGGTTTACAGAAACTTCCATCATTCTCTTCCTTAACAAGAAAGACCTTTTTGAAGAAAAAATAAGGAGGAGTCCATTAACTATCTGTTACCCGGAATACACAGGTAATGGATCATGAAACATTTCACTGGTGTACATACCCTTGGTCAGTGCTTCAGGGAATTTCATCCATTTTACCTTTGGTATTGAATGATTGGCTTATATGATTCATTACTCTTTTATGGAAAATATTGACTAATAGTGATAAGCATTAATTAAGCATATGATTAAGAACCCTTAAGTGCTGTTTCAGGACATGTTTAAGTTTTCTGTACTTATTTTAAATTTCTGTCCTCATTTTTTGAGGAAGATAAGAATACAAATTCAGATTTGGTTTAAGAAAGTGTAAGGATAAGACTCACATTGTTCAAGAAATTGACATCAAAAAAAAAGAAAGAAATTGACATCTAGTTTTAGAAAGACACATCCAGATGATTTTATTGTAGCATAAATGTACAATAGAAACAGAACAGAAGAAATGGCTACCTGTGATGAAATCATTGTCATCTTATTCTAGAGGGAATGACCCGTGTTTGAAATATTAAGGGATGAACCTGCCAGATAGCTTAGTAGATTAAAGCGCCTGCTTAAGCAGATGCAGGGGCTGGAGGTTCCATTCCTAGTGTGCCTTGCTGCCCCCTACTCCTGGGGTGCACTGGGACAGCGATTGAGACTGGGCATGGTGGCATGTGCCTGTAATCCCAGTGCTTAGGAGGCTGAAAACAGGAGGATAGGGATGAATTGGAAATCGCTAGGCAGACAGGAATGAAAATGTTTTGGGAAAGAGGACTCATATGTATGACAATAAACACATTAAAAAATGGCAGGACTTTTCCTGGAATTTAGAACTTAATGTTACTGAAATTAAAAATGATAAGGAGTAGTTGGAGAGATGGATCAATTCATGGAGGACCTTACATATCTCAAGCTGAGACAGTGAGGAACTACTGGAGTTTAACTGGGGTACATCATGTAATGGAAGTTATGCCTGAGAACAGATTACTCAGTAAAGTTACAATGGTAATAAAGATAGCAGGGGAGTAGAATTTATAAGGAGTCTTTTGGGATACAAATGAAAAGCTGTTGGTAAGACCAAGAAGTATATTATAGAAGCCAAAGACAAGAATGTGAACAGCCTTAGAATGTAATGAGAAGGGCCAGCCAAATAGTTTAGCGGATTAAAGCACCTGCAGGCAGGCACAGGGGCCGGGACTCAATCTCGGGGCCTGCTGTGCTGACCCTATCCCTGGGGCATGCTGAGAGGGCAATTGAGACTGGGCGTGGTGGTGCACACCTGTAATCCCAGCACTTGGGAGGCTGTAAACAGAAGAATCACTGTGAGTCTGATTTAGTAGTGAGACCCTGAACACCCTGTAAATCCTTCCCTAAAACAACGGGGAAAAAAAAACCACCAAAGAATGTAATGAGAGCTGTAAAATAGAAAGCTATAGAAACTTTTAAGAGTACTCTTCATCCTATCTTTTTTCCCCCGTCTTCTTTATTCTTCTTCATTTACTAACATCCTTTGTCACTTCTTTTCTAGTTTCAGTGTGTGTCCTCCTTTAGAAAGACTGGACTAGACAGGATTGCTTGGCCGCAAATTCATTTCTGGCCAAGGATAAGCCAGTCAGCTGAGAGCTGGGCACAGATACGTCCTCTATGAAATTTGTACTTCAGGTATTTCACTCATGTATTTCCAGGGAACGGGAACTCTCACTAACTGAGACACTGTAAGTGCTTTCTGTAATAAAATGGAAAGGTGGGGCAAGGTTGAGGAGGTACCCATATTTCTGTCTTGATCATATGTTGGTACTTGATCTGAATGAATATTTAGATATACTGGTTCTGAAGTATCTGGAACATTCAGATGGAAATATTTACTAGGCAGTCCTATATATGGCTTATGAACTTGGGAAAATAGATATATAGATTTGAGATCATCGGTGATTAAAACATGAAAATGAATTAAATGACCTAGGGAGATGCACTGTAGAATGAAATTAAAAAAACCACCACAGATAGAATGAGAAAATAGCAGTCTGCATTGGCAGAAGGAGAAACGGTCTGTAAAGGCCACAAAGAGAAGCACCAAGAGACCCAAGTATTGTGAAAACCAGGAGTAGCATTTGGAAAGTGAATAGTCGGGAGTGTTATGTGCAAATAAAATGCACACTGAACAGTGGCCTTTGGAGTTGGCAGTTCGGAGGTTGTTGGCTTTCATGAGAGCACGTCAGCAGAATGGTGAGAGTAGAGCTAGGCACAGTAAATTTCTGAGGGGGAATGTGTAGAATGTGACCTTTAAGCAGAGTGGATTAAAATGCAGAGGGAGATTTAAGAATGTTTATAGGCTTACAGGTAAGGCCTTATAACAACTTCTTATAAATTTTTATATAAAACTTATAAGAAGCATGTGTAATAGATGGAGCAAGATTTGTAAGTGGATGGGAAAAGACAGCATTAGGAGTAGACAGGGTGAATGGATGGACACATTGTGGGACATGTATGTACACAGTGTATATTATTTGGCCATAAAAAAGAACAAAGTAGTGCTAAATGTTCCAAGTTGGATGAACCTCAAAAATATGGTAAGTAAAAAAGCCAAACATAAAAGAATCATGTTATGATACCTTTCATATCGTATGTTCAGAATAGTCAAATAACATGCAGAAAAAAGCATATTGGTGATTACGAAGAAAAGGGTATGGACAGAATGGGGGTGATTATTTAATGGGGAACAGTTTATTTTTCTGGTATGGTGAAAATTTTGAAACCAGCTAGTTAGTGGTTCTATAACTTGGGAATACACAAATGCTACCAAATTGTATACTTTAAAATGGTTATGGATATAGTAAGGTTATGTACTTCTAATAATTTGAAAAGTCTAGGTAGGATCATTTGATTTTTAAAGAGGAAGAATGACATTTCTTATGACCAGAGTACAGGATTTGGTAACTTAAAACTAGATAGACTAAAAACTCAGGGTGTAGTCTAAACTCCATGACCTCTGTTTTCTTAGGAAAGTTGGAAATGTTACCTGTTCAGAGCGAGTGAGGAACAGAAGGAGGTTAGAAGTGCATGAGTTGGGGGGCCTGCCCATTAGCTCAGTTGTTTAAGTGCCTGCTTAAAAATGCAGTGAGGCTCATTTTTCACTGGTTCGAACCCAGATATCCCAGCCAAACCAGAAATGCCCTGAGGGCATACTCAAGCCTCCCCCCCCCAAAAAAAAAAAAAAAAAAAAGTACATGAGTTTATAGTAAATATCCAAGTTTTAAGATGGGGAGAAAAATCTTAGTCAAAGGGGCTAAGATTAATGGTGAAGGGCCAGCAGGGACCCTCCACACAAAGACACTGAAATACACCCTTGTGGTGGTGGTGGCAGAGGCGGAGGCAGAGGCGGAGGCAGAGGCAGCGGACTTCCAAGCCTGTTACCCACTGATTTCCCTTCTTGCACTTAAGGATTCTCACAGACTAGATTTACAAAGTATAAATAAGCACGTGTTTTTACTGGGCAAAAATCACTCATCTCCTTCCTGTAATTTATAGAGGTTTTCTTACAGATTTTAAGAAACCTTTCATCATCAGATGGTTTTCTTCAGTTCCTGAAATATTTTGTTTGATATTCTTTTCCTTCATAAACTCGTCTTTTTTACCTACTTTTGTTTATATTACAAACTTGGTGCTTGATATTTTCTGTCATGCTTGACATCACTGAAAATAGTCTCTGGTTTACTGAAATACTTGTGTGTGTTGGCTTTGTTGAATTTCCCAGGCTTTGCAGCCAAGTTTCTAAAGTTACTGTAACTAAAATCTCTTTACCTCCTCAAGATGGTATAAAAGACAGATGATAAAGTGTTAATTATAAAAATTTGGGAAGTTTCCTTTAGTCTCTGCTTCTTCCTCCTTTAAAAATCTTCCTCCTTTAAAAAGAAAGCTTTATTGAGATTCTATTCAGAAATCATATATTAACCCTTTAAAGATGTATAACGTGATTGAAAAAGATGCCGTGTTTAAATATTTTAAAAAATTACTATAATAAAAAACAAATTGTCGGGCTGGGGAGATAGCTCAGCAGCATAAGCGCCTGCCTAGCAAGCACAAGGTCCCAGGTTTGATCCCTGGTACCCCCCCCAAAAAAAAATTCATTCCCCCTCAAAATACTCTCCTTGCCTGAGACGCATATTTCTCATCATTCTTGCCACTTTCTGAATTAGTTCTTTCCATTCATGGGTGTCTTTACAGGAAGCAAGAGGAAATTCTTTTTGGGATTAGTTGTAATGTGTCTTTTTACTATAATTTTTATTTATTTTTTGTATTTAGTGCGGGGTCTACAGGGTCTCACTACGTAGATCTGACTTGTAGTGATTTTCCTGTTTTCAGCCTCCCAAGCGAGATTACAGGCTCAGGGCTCAGGCCACTACACCCCGTCTCAATCGCTGTCTTAGTGCACCCCTGGGGCGAGGTGGGGCCAGCATATCAGGCATCGAATCCCTGGCCACTGCACTCTGCCTAAGCAGGTGCTAATAAATTTTAAAATTTAAAGTATTGATCGTGTTTTTTAGTCGCTGCTTTTATACTTTGGACCCCACCCCCTACTTTGCATCTTTTAATTTGCCTGTAGTTATTTAAATTAATGCCTTAAGGCTCTGACTCTAAGCACCCTTAAAACTGAGGAATAATTACAAGAACAACTTACTCTTTTCAAATGCTTATTTCCTCATTTCCAGGAGTACAGGCACTCTCTGACCTTCTAAACAATTGTGTTCAGAAGAAATACACCCTCCTATTTTCCTAGTTTTTTTACACTTTCTAGATCTCCCCCCACCCCCCAAAAAAATACAAATGAAAGAGAAAAGAGCAACTTGTTGTTTTACTGAGTTGTGTGTTGTGATTTTATTTTAGTTACAATAAAGAGTGCTCTCATGGAGAATTGAATGATTATAGAAAAATTTAATGATTACAGAAGTACAAAATTCCATTTATGTTTAATTGTGTCATGTTACTTTTTTTTCATAAGTAAATGGTGATAGCCTGACTTCGGCTGCTGTTCCTACAATTTGAACCAACAGTATTGGGTGCTTGTTTTAGGTTCTAATACATATGAAGAGGCAGCTGCTTACATTCAGTGCCAGTTTGAAGATCTGAACAGAAGGAAAGATACCAAGGAGATCTATACTCACTTCACCTGTGCCACAGACACCAAGAATGTGCAGTTTGTTTTTGATGCTGTTACAGATGTCATCATTAAAAACAACTTAAAGGAATGTGGACTTTATTGAAGAAGGGGGATGCTAGTAAAAGGTAAAATTTCAAAAAAATGTATAGTGCTGTAGTGTTGTCCTGTGGTTTGGTAGACTTTTTCTGATTAAGAATGTTCTTCTTTTCTAGTTACTACAGTGTGGAGTGTTGAGACCAGACATCCTTTGCCTCCTCGTGGGGCAGCTGCAAGCATGACGGGACCAGGGAATGGCAGCAGCATGCAGAATCTTAGCACTCTTTAGCACAATCTTCTGCGTTAGGGAACTTTAATTGACATGAGATGCTAAAGGCAGACATTGGAATTTGAACAACTATAAAGTGAGATTTGATCATGAAGACATCACGTGGATTTAATCATCTCAGATATATAGGGCAGATAAGTTGAGGTGCTGCGTTCCAGAACTTTTAATACATAGCTTACTGTTTTCCTTCTTAACAAATCACCAGTTCATTTTTCACGTTTTTTCATCAAGAGAAGAATAACTCTACTAAATTTTATTTCTTTATTTGCAAAAGAATCTTTTTATTAGAACACAAACAGTCTTAACTATGCACTTGAGGTGACTAGATCATCTGGAAAATATTCCTCTTAGTAGGAACTCTTTGTTTTTAATTCTTGGTATGGTCCATGATACATTATTTCCATACTTAAAAATCTTTTGAGTTATATTAGGGCTAAAAAACATAACTTTTTGAATGAAATTATTTTGCTGTCCTGCACAAAATACCGTAATGGTTTCTGAATGGTAATTACATTGGAGAGTTCTGTGATGAGATTCTAGCTCTTTTAAACTTATGGCTGAGGTTAACCTTGTTTATGCTAATTACCAAATTACTAGTTAAATGCTCATGGAGTAAGATAAAATCAGCATCAAGTGAAAGGCACACCCAGGCCATCATCTGTTAGAAATGCAAATTGTTAAACTCTAGGCAGAGCTAGAGGCTTTGCTGCTACTTACTACTAAATTGCCCACTGATTCTTGCCTGTTTGTCAGTCACAGGGAGTTTTGTACAGGGTGCCTCTTGTTTTCCATCCTCATGACCTTTTCTGTTGGGAGACATCTAAAGGATATTGATAGTGCATGCTTTTATTTTGTAAATGTGGTGCCAAATCCCTGTTCGCCATTGTTTTTACTGTAGTAATGTTAACTGTAGTAATCCTTAGTCAGTACATTCTTTTACCAAAAATACTGCATTTTGGGACTTTTTCCACTTTGTTCTATGTACAGATTTTAATTTGTTAATAGTTGACAGGAGTATTAAAATGGTGAGTAAAAGAGTCCAGGTTTGCTCCTGTTTGTAACCAGTGATTTCTGGAAATACTGTCTTTTATTTCTTTTTGTCTCTGCTGAGTGTGCTTTGCCATGGTCTGAGAATGGGCTTGTTTAGATAGAAGGGTTTCCTTAGTGTAATAGTATTATTGAATCTGGACCATGTCAGAGGGTGTTGTGTCCTGTCTGTGTACAAGTAAAATGCAGTCATAAGCCATCTTCCAGGTTTACATTTTGCTTGTGTGGAGCGCTACATTCACTTCTACCTCCAGGGCCTTTTGATCAAGTATAGCAAGTGTCATTAAATATTGAATGGACCATGGGAAAGGCAAATGAAGAGAGTGCATTTTGAGCATTTTAAATCAGTAGTTTCATATGTACATTTTGGTGTCTTAACTTTGGAGGGGCTGGATTCTATGTGACCATCAGCTTGGTAGAGAAAAAGATTGGTAATCATCAAAGCTTCTTCAGAAAGCAAGCCACAATAGCTTCGTGCCTTTGTTGGTAGTTATTTTAAGTTTAGTCTTTTTTGAGAAATTATAGCTGCGCAGAGGCTATAACTATCTTATCTAACAAAATTCTCTGTGGGTGGGAAAACTTGATCTAGAAAAAGGAAATTATCAGCTTCAACTGGTGGTTGATTTAATGCCCACAATGTAAGTAGGGGTTGATAGATCTTAGTAATTTTGAATATATTTTTCCTTAATTTCCAGGATCATCTGGAAATTAGAAATGTTTTTATAGTACTGCTATACTCTGGTTTTAATAGAATGTTTTTGATAATCTAATAGATAATCCAAAGATAATTTTACTTGGAAGTGCATTTATTTTTGTTTGAATATGCCTATGTGATGTGTTCCTTAGTTTTGAAAGTCCTTCTGTTAATGAAAGCAGTTTATACTTTTGTCTCTATACCATTTATACTTGTTCTCTATTCACATGAACATCGTCCTCACCCTGTCATCCCATGTAACTAAATGCACAGCTCTTGAGAACCGAAGGGAGGTGGTTTAAGTCAGTGCTTTTCCAATATGACTTAACTTAAAAATCACCTAGACTTATCTGAAAAGGTTGATTCTTGCCTGATGGGCTTGTAATCTTCTTAAAAGGTGAGTTTGATAATTAGCTAGGCTTTCAAATTAACAGTCTTTTGAAGCAAAAGATCTTTTCTTATGGCAGAGCCAGAATATGGGGATGAAATATCATATTTATTAGCCTGGAGAAAAAAGATTGATATTTGTATTCAAGGACACTTAAAAGCTACATTACATGTTTTCTCTTGATAATTTTGATGAATAATGTTTCTGAATTTAGATGACCATACCTCTGATCATCTTAAGAGGCAGCACAACCAAGAAAATGAAAATTTAATGAATATAAAGAATGTAAACAGAATCTAGCAGGAAGGATTGTAGCAGTTGCATTTTATTTTGTTGATAGCCACATCTCTTCATTAAAATGTTGGGCAAAAAGGAAGTAGTTTTTCTAATAGATGGGCTTCCCTAAGCTTATAAATTCAGCTTTGTAAACAGATTTCATTTCCTGATATGAAAATTCTAAAACAGTAACAGTTATTTACAAATGGATTTGAGGTAATGTCTTCATCTTAGCAGTTTGAATTCTAAGTCTCCAGTTTGATGTATCATGTTATTCTCTCTGATGGATTTTTTTTATATAAGGTGCTATAATCATAGAAGGTTGGATCACATTTTTTAAAACCTGTTTTCTTAGCCAGGTGTAGTGGCTCAAACCTGTAACCCTAGCTCTTGGGAAGCAGGGGCAGGAGGATTGCTATTGAGCTCGAGGCCGGACTAGGCCACATAGTGAGTTTAAAGCCAGCCTGGGCTAAATAGTGATACCCTGTCTCAACACCTCCCCACAATTTAAAAACTTTTCTTGTTTTATTATTTTTTTATTCTCATATGCATCCATATGCTTAATATATATATTTTAGACAAAAAATAACTGCTGATTTTTCTAGTTCATTCACTCATTCTATATTCAATATGTCCTGGCCACTGTGACTTTACTTTAAATTAGTTGCTTGGCCTGACGAGTTACTGAATGTTTTTATCCATTTGCTTAATATCTATAGCATAGTTCTAGAATTTCCTGTTGCAGAAGACCTTGCTATATTGTAGTTAAGGTAAAGTCAATCTCTTAAAAATATGCTTTCCCCATCTGGGTGTTTAAAAAAAAAAATCTCTAGTCAAACCAAAGTAGCACTCTTGTTTTTGGTGTTACAACTCTTGGACTCTTTACCTTTTATATGTAATAGTGACTTCAAGACAAAGATATTGCCAGCCATGGTGGTACATGCCTGCAATCATTGCTCTTGAGGCTGAGGTAGGAGGATTGCCACGAGTTCAAGGTCACCCTGGGTCACATAGTGCATTTAAGGCCTGCCTGAACCTCACAGAAAGACCCTTAAAAAAACAAAACAAAAAAACCCCAAACCCACAAGTAGTTTAGTTTGCCAATATCATCAGCTCTGGTTATACTACTACAGGCTTTGTAGTAGATCTGTAAAGTAGTATAGCTTTATGACCATTGTATTCTGTTACATTGCTTACAGTAAGCACAAGAAAAACAAAAGTATTGCCTAGAGGTCTTAAAGTTAAGTTTGTTGCCATCTGTCAAAGGGTACAAAGGTTGGGGCTGGGGAGATGGCTCAGTGGAATAAGCACTCGCTGGTACGCACAAGGGCCTGAGTTCAATCCCCGGTTGGCCAAAAAAAAAAGGGGGTACAAAGGTTTTTTGAGGCACCTGAAAATTTAACTTTCAATGTATTTCTTTTTCTTTGTTTAGATTGTAAAATCTGCAATCTCCCACCCTAATTTTCTCATTACATTTTGCGAGTTACTTCTGCAGAGGATAATATTTTAGAACAAATGAGAGGATGACATTTTTCTTGATGCTTTGTCAGGCCTAAGTCTGCTCAGAAATAAGGGATAATAAAGGTTTTACAGCAGCAAATGTCTAGAGTACATGGTTAATCTGTACAGATTTCTTTGCTAAATTCTAGTAATACTTGAGCCAGATCCTATATATATATATTTCCCCCCCCCCCCCCCCCCGAACTTGGGGATTTGAACTCAGCTTTGCGCTTGCCAGGGAAGCGCTTATTCTACTGAGCTCTCTCCCTGACCCCTATGTATTTTTAAATAAACTCATTAGGTGATTTTTCTATACCAAACTTGGGTCAACATTTGGGTACTCAATAGGACCTAATAGGATCAATCAACACAAGTGTTAAGCAACTACAGTACACATATAACTGCAAAATCACTAGTGAATAGTCACACGTTTTTTAAGTATTTGTCAATAAATAAATGCCCTTTTGATTGTATAAAGGGAGATAAGCAGGGCTTGCTATTCCTGAGCTACATCTCCAGATCTTTTGAAACAGGGTCTTGCTAAGTTGCTTAGCCTGGTCTTGAACTTTGCCCCTCCAGCTTCGGACTCCCAAGTATCTAGGATGACAGGTGAATGCAACTGTGTCCAGCAAGAAACTCGTATGTGACTAAGTTAAAGTGCTCTTCCCAGGAAAAATTAGTAGGACCATTTGGTAAAATAATCGTCTTGGGCAGGGGAGATGGCTCAGTGGGATAAGCGCTAAGGGTCTGAGTTCAATCCCCGATCCTCCCTTCCCCCTAAAAAAAGATGTTATATTTTGGAAACAGAATATTTAGTTTTTATACAAAATTAAGGTAAAATGAGAAACTTGGGATACTGAAACATTTTTATTTCATGGCATTTATGAAATCAAAAGATAGGCATACCAAATTAAAGATAGATGAAAGTGCTGTGTCAAGAGAATGTAAAAGTTTCCTAATGCCCAATGGTAGTGTGTTCTCTTTCTGAGTTTTAGTGGTAATCACAAGGTAACAGAAATAATAAAATATCAATGAGTACTGATACATTGCTGGGATACACTATCGTATGTGTTAGGGTTACCAAGCTGTAATATCACTGATACCTGGAAAATTACCTACACCTTGGTTTATCTCCTATATGCTGCCTACCCCTATCTTCCACTCCAGTATTAAGTCCTTCACATATTTTAACTAAGATACTTATTTGTGTAAGAGTGATTACCAGTTTTCTTTTATCCTTATGTAGGATAAAGGACTTGAGACCCCTGCGAATCTTCATTGAGAATAATTTGGAGCGCTGGTCTTCCCTTGCTTCAGCCTAGCCATGAAATCTTGCAAAGGTCACTTTCAGTCTTATATCCCTCATGTGTTGTCTAAAGATGGACTAAGATGTTTCTTTCAACTGTGATGGCCTGTGGTTCTGATTAAGTAGGAATATATATGTGAAGATGCTTTGTGATGTTCTTATGATTGCTTTAGAAGATTATATTGGATTACAAAAAGGTAATGTCCTGTGGCCGCACCAACATGTGTATTCATTGTAGCTGGTGGTCTTTTCACAGCATGGTTTCCCTCATAGTCATTTGAAGACCTGAAATGAAGTTGAATTATAAATTACTCTAAAATGTGTTGACGGGGTGAAAAGGTTGTTTACCTGTTTTATGTTTCAGTCATTGCCTTATTTTTTTATTCATACTGGTGCTTACTTTTTCATAGCCAAATGGCAGAAAAGTTCCCTTCTGCAGCTTCCAATATGTCTGTCTAACCTCACAGAAACGTCCTCGGCTTTACTGAGCAGGACCACCAGAGGTTCTGGCACCCTCGCAGTCCCTGGCCAACACCGAAGTCCTGCTGGAATCTGTGCTCCGGGGGCTGTGCCGGGTAGAGAGGGCAGTGGGAGGTAAGAGCTCTTCACCCTTCACCACCTTCTCCACCCAGCATGGCCAGCACACTTTGGTCTACGGCATATCTCCAGGTAGAGCTGGGCTTGAACACTGTTGTCTCATCCTGGGGTTGCAATGGAATGTTCTCACTTGGACTATTTGGGGACGTGGGAGTTTTATCAGAGTAGGAATGGTTATATATGTTTTTTATATTGCTCATAAGATAGAATTATTGTACTTATTTAATTCATTGGTCCTTTGTAGAAAACATAAAAGCACACTTACAATTATATTTTTTCCATTTAAAAAACTGTAAAGTATATATAACGTAGCACCATTTGAATCATCCAAGTGTGTAGCTCAGTGGGATGAAGCGTGTTCATTCACACTGTTGCACAGCCATCACCACTATCCATCTGTAGGACTTTTTTATCTTCTCAATTTGAATCTGTGTGTGTTAAACTCTAACTCCCTGTTTCCCTCATCCTCCCAGCTCCTGGTAACCATCATTCTACTTTCTTTCTCTGTGAATTTGAGTATTTTAAGTACTGTACCTTATGTATATAAAATCAATACAGTATTTGTCCTTTTGTTTCAATTTATACTGGGTGTTTGTAAAAGAAAAAACTGTCATCAAATTTATGTGAAACAGCCTAATATACATTTGATTTATTGTCATCAGTGTCTTTAATCATGTTGTGCTAAGGAGGTACCTCATGGTCTCTGCCCGCTTTAGAGGTGAATGGGAAATTACTCCTTTAAAAAACATATGTAAAGTTATTTATATTTTTGTTATTGCTAACTTCACATTCTGTTTTGGGACCTATTTATCTTAGTTTGAAGATGGTTTTGTTAAATATACATAATGTAGAGATGGCATAACACCAAAAAACGCCCAAGTATTTAATAATTGCTTAGAAAAACAGAAAATTGACTTTGATGTTCTTGTGTATGGTGGCTGTTGGGAGCATTAATATCTCTGGATCACTGACGAATCACTGTCTTTGGATGCAGAAGAGCTTATTTTTTTCTTATGTTCTTAAGACAGTGAGTTTTGCTGTGAGACAGGTTTCTTTTTGAGACATAGGGTTTCACTATGTAGTTCAGGCTGGCCTTGAACTCACTGTATAGTGCAGGCTGGTCTCAGACTCATAATGATCCTCCTGCCTCAGCCTCCCGAGTGCTGGGATTTCAGGTGTGAGCCACCACATCCCGCTAAACAGACGCAGTTTTAACAGTTGTAAAATTATTCTTTAGTGTTTCAAGCTCATATGTCCTTCTAGTGTTGATGTTGCCAGTGGCAGCCTGAGTGTGAATGGGTGTTTCTGGCAAGAAGCAGCCTTTCATTTTAACTGACACTTTTATATACTAACTCTTGGATGCCAAGAGCCCTCCTTACTAGTAGCTGTAAGTGCTAAATCTGTACTTGACTTTCCACCACCTGTCAAGATAAATACAAGCTTCATTTCCTCCCAAAGGGGCTCAAAGGAGTAATTTACTGCTGCTCTGTTTGGGGAGATGGTGTTTTCAGCCAGCATCATATGGACCCAACTGCAAAGATTTTCTGTGCCTAAAGTGAGCTCAGCTGTCTTTTTTTTTCCCCTCTGAAATGTGTAGCAGTTCAAATGAGAATTTTAGAATTGCTCGCTTGTTCTAAATTCTATGATTGAGAAGTGGCAGCAGTAAAATCATATCAAGTGGGAGTGTGTTGATGTCCTCCAGGTTTAATCAGTATGCTCCCTAGCTGAGCAGTTCATAGAGATACAGAGGGACAGGGAATTATCTGTACCTTTAAAGATGATCCCTTGTGGATGTGTGCCTGAGAAACAGACTCACATCTATCCAGTGGTCCAGACAACTGAGGCACATAACTGCTGTTAATAAGAAGGGTGCTAAATTGACATTTTAATAGTGAATTGCAGACTTTAGGGAGGGTTTGTGTAGTTCATCTAAAAGCCAGAGTTGAATTTCATAAAGTACAGCACTTATAGGGGCTTTTTGTTTTGTTTTTTGAGACAATCTCCTTATGTAGTTCAGATTGCCTCTATACTCACAAAACACAGGCTTGTAAGGAGGCCTTGAACTTCCGGCTATCCTTCTACCTCAGACTCCTGATTGCTGAAATTACAGACATGTGCCACCAAGCCTGGCTTTTAGGTGGCTTTCTTGCTCTGACTAAACAGCTTTCAGTGTCTTTCCTTTGGTTATATTTGTGGGTTTCAGAATAACCCTGAAGTAGATCAGGAAGTGGAAAGTGAAGTAGATAGGAAAGCTATCTTTGTAGATGAGGAACTGGATGCACAGAGAAGTGAAATACTTGTGTTCTTGTGTTAAGCAAAACTAGTACTGGAACTCAGGTTTTATGACTCTTGACCTCATGCTTTTGAAACTACTGGTTATTCTGCTTACAAAAGAACATGAGACATAGTTTCAGTTTTGCATTCTCCATTCCCAATGGGCAGTGGCTTCATTCTTCATGTCATAGTATATTGACCTATGATTATCTGCTTGAAATCACCTACATTCAAAGCTTGTTTATAAAACGTATGCCTCAGGGCACTTGAGAGGCCAGAAGTTTGAGACCAGCTCGGGCCCTACATAGGTCAAAACCAGCCCAAACTAGGTAGTGAGACCCAGTCTCAAAAGTAAATAAATTAGATGTAGACCTGAGGAGTCGGGTGTGGATTAGAAGAGTCCACAGTCCTTGAGATTTTCTTTGATGATAATATCTGTAACTGCATCAAACACAAATTTGACATTCTGTGTGTCTGTAGCGCATGTCATATGACTGTAGATTTCTTTGACATCCTTTCGCATGTTGAGATCAAGGAACTGGCTCTTGATATAATTCCCTGCATCCTCGTAGGAATTATTTCCTGGTTGTCCAGAAAAAAGTGAAAAAATACAATAAATTAATACTTTTTTTTTTTTTTTTTTTGGTGGAACCAGGGATTGAACTCAAGCCCTTGTGCTTGCCAGGCAAGCGCTTATTCTACTGAGCCATCTCCCTGTCCCCAACTGCTTATTTACTTTTTAAGTTACTGGCTTGATCCTAGTGTTAGCCAACTACAGTCGGGGACCTGCTTTGGGGAGATTTCTCTCTTGCATCCAGTGTTTCTCATTTGAGTAGACCAAGGAAATCGAAGAAAGAGGTGTCTTTATCTCTACAGCTTTGGTTTCTGACAGGTGTTCTTTCAATAGTCAGTGACTGTCCTGCATCTAATATCTGCTTATTCCACTTGTATCTGAGTTTAAACTCTGAAACTGAATGCCCAAATTTCTCCCCAAAGACAAGTTTATTTCTTGTTGGCATAGAGATCAAGGCAGTCACCAGTTACTACTAAAAACATCACTGTTTTCTGCAGCATTTGACACTTACCATCATACTCTGGAAAACAAATACTGAGATGGACTTTCTTGATTTTTTCCTCAAAAAGGTCTTTCTTGTTGAGAAAGAGAACAATGGAAGTAGCAGCAAAGAACTTGTGGTTACATATGCTGTTGAACAGATGTAAAGACTCATGCATACGATTCTAGTGAGAGGAAACACCATTGGAAATATCAGATTGGAATTATGGGATAGTTGCCTACTTGCTTGCTTATTCCCCTTGGAGAGACCAATGTTCCAAATGCAAAAGCAAATAGCTTCTTTTTAGTGTGAAAGAGTAGAGCCAGAGTTCCCATGTTAATAGATGTGTCCCTTCAGGAAAAGTATTGAACATCTCTGAGCCTCAGTGTCCTTAGAGAGTTACTGTGATAGTAAAATGAACACATGTATATATAGTGTCTATGGTAGTAACTGGCATAATAAATGTTATGTACATTTTGGCAGCCAGACAGCAGTTAGGACTTCCACATGTATAAGTACTGTTATAGGTTGAGACTAGGCCAAATTTAGTATGTGTCTGTTTGTGTCTCCAGGTGATTTTGTTAGGCTAATCAGGGATATAGAGTCTCAGATCTATTTGAACAGGGAGGCGATTTGGCCCTAGTGAGTGCTATAGAATTTCCTAGTGCCACACTACAGGCATTTGTGCTGTCTTATCCCCTTCTCTGATTTCTACTTTTAAGAGATAAGACGTGGTACTTCTCATCCTCAGAGTCTGGAGGTTGCCAGTGCCCCAGCCAGCCAGCTTTCCATTAATAGGTTGCTGACCTCTGACTGTGGAGCAAATATTTATGTGAAATTAGTGTTTTCCACACTTGTAACATCCTTTGTCGAAAAGCCCAATAAGAAGTAACTGGCCCTGTTTGGATACATGTCCTGTAGAGCTGTTGAAAGGACTCATCCTCACGTGTTTTTTTTCAGCAGCCACTTTTGTTGTCATTTAAGGAAGTTGGACTGCTATTCTCTCCTGTTGATACTTGGTGTATTTTTAGGCTTCCAAGTGAAGTGTGTAGCTCGGCCTCTCTGCTGTGTTGTGTAACGGTACACAGTATACACTCCCTGTTCTACGTTTTCATCTTCTGTTTTTCCATAGGGAGCCTGTGAGTAGAAATGTAATTGCTTTGCCTACTTGACGGTCTCTTATCCTTTTAGTACGCAGTTCCTCTTAGGAACTTTTTGGTGGCCAAGAGATACTTGTATGTTTAATCTGAGACTAACCTCATTCTTAGTAAATCTGGAGCTTTACTGTGCTAGCCTGGGACCTGCAAAAGAAGTGTTATTCTGGAATTGTCTGCATGAGACATTGGCTGGTCTGCTAGGGGACTGCTAGCTTGTCGTGCTCATTCACATCCTAGCTGGGACACTGGAATGACACGACACAAGCCTCTAAGAATGGGTCATGAGAGACGTGCAAGGCTCTTTGGTGCCAAAGCTGCTTACCACCTCGTCATCTTCCACCAATACCATGTCATAGGCACTGAGGGCTGCACAGAAGATGATGCAGGTGACACCCTCAAAGCAGTGGATCCACTTCTTTCTCTCTGATCTTTGTCCTCCCACATCAAACATCCTGTGGGAAGAGGCAGCAGCTACAGACATGCCTGGCATATGGCCCGTAGATCTTTGCTGTTTCTCCTGAGCAGGAAACCCTGGGGCCAGTTAACTGCAAAATGGGAAATGCGGAGTAGGGGGCTGAGGGAAACAAGACAGTAAGTCAGGTTGGGCTTCAGCAAAGGCCAAAAACAATGTCCGTGTCCTTTTCTAGGATTGTGCATGTTTATCTGAGATATCTGCAACAACCATGTACTCACCTGAAATTCAGATCCTTGACAGAAAACTTTGTTTCTATGATGCCTGTGGTTTTGACTCTGGATCGTAGCACATCTTGCTCATTAGGCAGGTAGTTAGGGTCTGTAATCCGGTCCAGTTGGTTAAGGTAGCTAGACAGAAGTTATCCATATTGACGATATTACATTTTCCACAGATAAGATTGAAAGTTACCCCAAATCACACAGCTAATGTGATAGTAGACCGGGGCTTGAATCCATATAACTAAATTTAGGGTTCTTTCTTTCAAATCTTTATGTGTTCTTAGAAAAGAATGTGGGTAAGTGGGCTGAAGAATAAGACCATTTGATGCAGGGGCTGATGCAGTTTGAGTTTTGCCAGCTGGAAATCCTTTCTAGATTTGTGAGGATGACTGACTGTTTTAAATGGGTGCCAGAAGATCCATCAAGAGGCAGAAGGAGAGCTGGGGATTTCCTTCAGTGGTAGAATGGTTTGGCACACACAAGATCCTGGGTTCGGTCCCCAGCAAGAGGTGGGGGTAGATTAAAAGCTACTTTACAGACAGGTAGCAATGCATGAGTTTTGTTTATATCATGAATAAAATTGTAATTGGGGAAATTTGAGCATGGATTTGGGTGACTGATGCTGTTAGGGAATTATTAAATATTTAGGTACGATGATACTATATTTTTTAAAAAAGAGCCGTTATATTTTAGAGATAATGTAATGAAATTTTTAGGATGAAGTGATACCTGAGGTTTGCTTTAAAATCATCTGATAGACATGGAGGCAAATGAGTAGCTTTAAATTAACTGTTGAGACTAAATGATTGTTATTTCCCTTTGGTATGTTTGGAAGTTACCATAAAAAATGAGAAAATTTTAAAAAATGGTAGAAGGAAGGGATATTTTAAGAGAAATGACTGAAGAAAAGGGAAATTAACATAAAAATCTAATACATGTCAGATATTTTCACATTTAAATTCTCAGTGAACCTTAAAAGCTTTAAGACTCCTCATTTTTTTTTAAGTTTTGACTTTTGGTGTTGAACCCAGTGCATTGCTTTACCTCATTCCACCCCTGCTTTTCAAATGTTTGAGACGGCCTTGCTAAATTGCCCAGGCTGGGCGAGAACTTGGCTTTTTTGTACCTCAGCATTCCAGAGTGGTGGGACTGCGGAAGCAATCTGCCATGCCCAATTCATAGCCTTGCTGTAGATGTCAAGGAATAATTCAGAAGGATTAAATAATTTTCCCAGTGTCAGAGACATTATGAGACCCTGTTTGGTTTTTTGTTTGTTTTTAAATCAGCTTTGTGGCCAAGCAGACTTGGGTGCAACTCCAGCCTCTGCTGTTTATGTGTGTGATACTGGGCAAATTAAATGACTGTTGAATTTGTAGAAAATGGGGCTAATAAAAAAGTCCTGTACACCTTGAAGGCTTATTGTACAAATGGATAAAGGGTCTTGAGATAATATGCATAGCACACCTGGCAAGTACTGGCCCTTCGGGAGCATACCAGAGATAGTAAATGACAGTGTTATATCAAGATTAGGTAACAAAAAGGGGTTAAAAACACCTAACTGAAACTCATGCCCCAGCATGATACTATACCGTTGTAGGATTGATAAACCCTGCTTCCCTTATCTTTTTGGAACCACCTGTGCACAGCTAATTGTTGGATTCCTGCCCACCTTCCTTTGGTTTGCCCTGGTCATTCCTGAGTCCTCAACCCTAATATTTTTTTTCTTCTTTTTTTTTTTGGCGGAACCAGGGATTGAACTTGGGCCCTTGTGCTTGCCAGGCAAGTGCTTATTCTACTGAACTATCTCCCAGGCCCTCCACTCACCCTAATATTCTGACATTAAGGTGCTATGGTCAAGGAGATTTTCATTTCTGTAGCCCAGGTACAGCCTGAGTTACATGTAGAAAAGTCAGCCTTGAAAGGGCTGAGGCTGGGGCTGGAGAGATGGCTCAGTGGTCTAAAGCACCTACTTAGAACAAGCTTAGCAAAGCATCGGGGACCGCGGTTCAATCCCCCAGCACCACATGCCAGCCAGCCTCGCCCCCTGGTGGGCTGAGCTGGCCACACACACACACCACTCTCTCTCTCTCTCTCTCTCTCTCTCTCTCTCTCTCTCTCTCTCAAATAAAAAAAAAAAAAAATTTAAAAAAAAGAAAGGGCTGAGGCTGGGGAGATAGCTTAGTGGCACAAACACATGCCTGGCAAGTGCAGGGTCCTGAATTCCATTCCCAGTACCAAAAAAAAAAAAAAAAAAAAGAGGGTCATCATTCATGCACCTCCAGGAGAACTGCAGGGCTGTTTTAGATTCTGAAAGGAGGAGCTAAGTGTTTAGCTTAAGAAAACAGGGTTAAGAGCCATTATAGCAATTGTATTTTGAATTTTGTGCCACTAGCTTTATAGACTGCGGTAAGTGAGGGTAAAGTAATCTTGAGGGGTGGGAGCAGGCAGGTGATGGCAGGCGTTAAGTGTAGTGTGTGTGTCCGCGAGGGGTGGGAGCTGGCAGGTGATGGCAGGCGTTAAGTGTAGTGTGTGTGTCTCCGCTTTCAAGGCGTGGTATTTAAGGCCAGTGGGATTTCTCCTGCAAGATTGCTTAAGCATCATCCCTCCTCCCCAGGCAGTCTTACTAAGATGCTGAGTCATTGAGCTGATATTCTGCAGCTCTGTCGAAGCAGGCTTGCACTCCACCGTCCTTCCACAATTTCCTAATGACTTCCACCAGCTCAGGAGGCATGGTCCCCTCCTCAGTAGAGTCAGCCAGGTTGTTGAGCTGTCGCCCATCGTCCTGTAATGCGGAAAACTGAGAATGACACAGGGGCTTCGGCTTTGCAGGAGGCCTGTGGGAATACTGCTGAATAAAAAGCATCTTGCATGCTACCAAAGCCTGAAGTGGAGGCAGTCTTTTGTGAAGATTCCATCTAAACCCCACCCGCCCCCAACTAGGAATTGAACTCAGGCCCTTGCGCTTGCCAGGCAAGCGCTTATTCTGCTGAGCTAGCTCCTCATCCCTGAAAATTCCATTTTAAACACTAACTTTTGAATATGCTGCACAGACATAGGGAGTGGTGTTTTATCCAGCTTGGACACCCCTAGAGGATGGTGCAAAGGTCCCAGGTGCTGGTTCTCTGGTATTTACAACTTCAACTTAGTTTCAGAGTAGACTGCCACAAAATGTCGGTGCTTTGCTGCAGAAAGTGTCTCAGTTTAAAGGCCAGATTTGACCATGAAATTGATAAGCTAGAAGACAGGAACCCATCACATTCCTTCATTTCAGTGATTCACATTTAGGGCAAGGCCAATACTAAAACTAGAGATTTAGCTTATAAAAGGTCATGGCCAGGGCAAAAAGCCCCAGGGGAACAATTTATGTAGTAAAAGAGGACAAAAATGCAGAGAAAGCAGAGATTCTGCAAGCATTTATTTTAAAGGTAGAAGTTGCTTACTTTTCCAGAACTGAGAAGATTGGAAGCTCAGCAGATCGGATTTTAGTTACACAGAACTTACTCTTACTCAACTTTCTTCATAGTTTATTGGCCTCGGGTTCAGTTTCTTGTCCACAATAGTCTTGCTTTAACCATATAACATCACATACCACACGGCTCGGGTCGGCATAGTCAATGCCCAGCGTGGACATGGCGCGGATGATAGCCAGGATGGACTGTAATACGTTCCCGTAAATGACAGACTTGAACTCGAGGCATTCTTCTGGCGAGTAGCCATCCTGGTGAATGATCCTTAAGAGGTGGACACGGGCTTTTAGCTGGACCTAAGTCACCAAATCTAAGGGATTGGGAATCTAAGGGGATTTAAAGGACCCTAAAAACCTGTCACAAAGTAGAGTGAGGGCTTTGAGGCGTAGTTCCTTTAAAGCACCTGGGCTCAGGATAGAGCCTGTTCTCAAATCCCTCCACTGGTTTCTTAACGACCGCCCCCCCCACTCCAAATCCTTGGGCGCTTTTGTTTCTACTCACTTCATCTGCTTGACAATGGTGCTCTTTCCTGACTCCCCGGCACCTGGAAGGAGAAATGCTTATGCTTCCACTTCCACGAGTTTCTCCCAGCATTTTAGGAAAAGAGCGATGGTTGCAGGCACTTTGGACCCAGGCTGGGTGACTTGGATTGACTGGGTGATAGATAGATTTGTGTGTGTGGTAGTGTACTGGGGAATTGAACTCAGGACTCCACATAAGCTAGGCAAGTATGCTATACCATGGAGCTGCATCCGCAGTCAGCGTTTTTAGCTTTTTTTGTTTCTTTTAAAATGTTGGGGATCAAACTCAGGTCCTCACACTTGCCTGGCAAACAGTGCTGGGCTACATGCCCAACCGTGTTTATTTTGAGATAGAATTTCACTAAGTTGCTCAGGCTGGCTTTAAATTTTTGATCTTTCCTGCCTCAGCCTCCTGATTCTGGGATTACAGGAATGTGGCACTGTGCCAGGCAGTGACCTTTTTAGAGTAGAGTTTATTTAACTTTCTACATTTTGGGCTGGGTTTCTTTTTTTTTAGGGGCACTGCAGGATGTTTAGTAGCATTCCTGGTCCCTACCCACTAGAGGCCAGTAGCACCCCACTGTCCTAGTTGTAGCAACTGAAAAGTTTCAAAAATCTCTCCACTGAGAACCCCCATTAAAGGAATCAGAGGAATTCCTTTAATGGTTCCTCTCTGGGTGAATAGTCTTGGCCAGGACCAGAGACCTTAATTACTTTCTTGAAATGTTTTTCATTACCTTGATGATTCCTTATTTGACTAAAATGCCTTAATCCTCACTCACACTCTTCCCTTCCGTCCCCCCTCTGTCGGTGCTGCCCTGATCCCTCAGCACCACGCTTAGCTTGTGCTTTTTCCCCCTCTTAAGCTGCTTATTCTGAAGCTAAAGAATCTGTTTAGGCTTGAAAGATCCCTCAGGGTCCCTGTCACCTCCATTTCCCTCTGTAATTCCTAGGCTCCTTGATGTGTCCTTGGGCACAGATGGGATAGGATGCCTTTAGCCTGGTATTCTGTCCATAGCCTTAGAAATCCATGAGGCAGCTATTCTTTAGTTGCATGGGACCCACCTGCTACAGATAGCCTGGGTCTCTGGTAAGGCTAGTGGTTTTGGTTCTTGTTTTTCTCCCCTAAGTCAGGCTCAGGCGGGCACAAAGTTGCTTGCCTTGCTACTGTATATAGCCCTGGTCGGATCCTTGGCTGACACCCTAAAGACCCTGGCTCTCCTCTCGCACTTCCCTAGTTCTAAAATTTTTCTGAAAGCAGGAAGAAACCAGTATACTTCTCAAGAATCAGTGGGCCTATTCCAGGGTCTTAGCGTTAGGATTGTGGGGTAAAAAAGGTCCTATTCTCTTCTGAGTCCTTGAGCCAGACCCTCACTGTAGATTGAGTGTCCACATAGCCAAGGTTCTTGGTACTTGTCAGGCCAAAAGGAGCTGTTGATTTGGTTAGATCTGAGGAGTGGTCTGCCTTGGACCTTGTGCTGTTCCTGGTTCAAGAAGAATGGGGAAATTTCAGTAGCTCCTTTGGGGTAACTGTGCAGACACCATATTAACTCTCACCCCTAGATCTTGGGTCTGACCTAAGACTGAAATGAAAAAGGAAAACAGATCTGTTGTGCCTCCTCCCCTTGGGGTAGACTAGAACCCACCACTCCTCCAGGGAACAGAAGAGCATGGCGTCCTGCAGGCACACCTTCCACGCTCACTCACCCAGCAGCAGCAGCTTGACAGTCTTTGCCTCTTTGTCTGCATCCTCCTGCAGCTTCTTTTCCAGCTCCTTGGATCTCTTGGCCAGCTCCTTGTCCTCTGCACTGATTCCACTCCCCATCTCTGTGGACTCCTCAACTACTTCCTCAGGCTTTTTTTAGCCTCTCCTGTAAGATTTTCTGTGTGAAAAGTGAAAAAGTATTTGGGGTTGAGTGTCCTTCTCTTGCTGTCCTAAAAGCTTAATACAGGACTAGGTGATAGCAGGTAATAAGTTCTCCTTTGCTGCCTACCTTGGCCGAGACTCCCTACCCCAACTGGAGGCTTTCTTGGTCTAGGGATTATAGCCTTCATGTCTACCAATGTGATGAGTCTAGCCAATTAAGAGCTTTACCAATAAGACAAAGGGCAAAGATTCAAAATGTTCTGTAGCAAGGGAAATGATCCAGGAAATGACCCAGGTTCTGACACAGGAAGGAAGGGTGTGGATGCTAGAGCTTTGGGAATGAAATGATGGCCACCTCATCTCTTGGAGGGGGGCGATCTATTCAAAGAGCTTGCTTTCTTGGTTTGACTTGTATTGTAGACTGGAGGTTAGGGAGACACACAGGAGTCATTGTGCATATTGAGCCTCCAGATTTTAGGATCCTAGCTTTAAGGGCTTTAAGACAGCGTAGATAGCTCACTGATCAGACCAGTCCTGGCAAAGTTTTGGGGTTGTTTTTGTGGAACCAGGGATTGAACTCAGGCCCTTGCACTTGCCAGGGAAGTGCTTATTCTACTGAATCATCTCCCCCGCCCCCAAAGTTTTGTTTGGAGTAATGATCTTCCTGGGAAAGATAAGGACTGTGTCAGCTCCTGCAGGGCCACTGGAAGCTACAGTATTGTTTCTTTGTAGTGCTTCATCTCTGTACATACCCCTTCCTATTTTGTGATACTGGCCTGCATCTTGAGCTATATCACCAGCCCTTTAATTTTTTAATTTTGAGACAGGATCTCCTTAAGTTGCCCAAATGGCTCAAACTTTCAATCCTGGTGCCTCAGCCTCTAAGAGTGCTGAGACTGCAGGCATGCAACACCGTACCTGGCCCTTTGTACATAAGTCTATCCTTAGCATTTAATACTTTTTTAGGGGCAAGAGTGAAAGGCTTTTGCCCAGGCTGACCCAGAACTTCAGCAATCCTGCCTCGATCTTCTAAAGGCTGGGATTACAGATATGCACTAACGGCTTCATTTTATACTGATTTACCTGTGAGCCTCTTCCAACTTGTAGTTTATAAGCAAGTCTTTATAAGCAGGCTTGGTAAATAAATGGAGGAAGAATGGTACATGTAGAGCGAATGGGGCTGCTTCCCCTGGACCCAGTGATGCCGCCTGAGGTCCACCTTCACTTGGTGGGAAATTAGCTGGTATTCATTGTGCTTTGTGCCCGGTCATACAAGAAACTGTTTCCTTAGGCAATCAGACCACAGCCTCTACCTTGCAGAGATTGGGGCAGGGCTTCTCTTGACTCTCATCCAGGCTGGAAACCCCACCTCCCACCCCCTTCCCAGCAAGAAGCGAAGGGTGCAGCCTTGCCTCGCACAGTGCGATTCTCCACAAATGCCAGTTATTTCACTTAAATGGGTATTGCTGGTGGAGCCATTTAGAACTTTGCTACCCAGAATGTAGTGCAAAGAAGACTGGCTTCAGATGACATAGAAACTTGTTAGAAATGCAGTATGGACCTCAGCCCAGACTTTCCTGTTTAGAATCTGCCTTTTAGCAAGACCTCTGAGATCAGGAACATCCGTGCCCCCCACCCCTCGTGCCTGTTTGCATAATGTAAAGATCATTTGGTCTCTGCCGTCCAAGTGCTGAGATTACAGGCATGCACCACCATGCCTGATGAGATGGCGGGTCTTGCTTGCTATGCAGCTCAGGCTGACCTTGAGCTTACTTTGTAGCCCAGCCTGCTCTCAAACTCACAAAGATCCTCCTGTCTCAGCCTCCCAAGTGCTAGGATTACAGGTGTGCCCCACCATGCCCTCATTAATTGATGGTAATTACTAAGTAAATGTTGGAACAAAAACTATTAAGTACCTTTGGCTGAGATTGGAGGATCATTGTGTGTTTGTTTCAGCAGACACTTAAGGATTTTTGGGGGGGAGGGGGCACTCAGGATGCCTTCAGGACAGGTCTGGTTTGGCTTGAGGATGAGGGGATTGAACCACAGCATCCTGAGCCTGCTTTGTTTCAGCAGGCACTTAAACACCTGAGCTAATGGGCAGGCCCCCTCATTGTGAGTTTGAGACCAGCCTGGCCTACAGAGTGAACTCAACTGAGCCTGAACTGCATAGTGAGACCTTGTCTCAAAAAGACGACAACAACAAAATAAAATCCCCATTGTTGTGAGAATGGTTGTTTCCAGTAATTTTCTGTTTTGAATATCTATACTAAATATCTTTATGAATCATCAAAAGAAAAAGATCACTTGATATGCTTGGTTCTGCTTCATGAAGCCTTTACCGGCCACTGACTAGAAGACCACCTTGCTTTCAAAGATGTTAAAGTAGTACATATTTAAGACTGGGCATGGTGGCAAGTGCCTGTAATCCCAGCTCGTGGGAAGCTGTAAACAGGTACATCACAATGAGTCTGATCTAGTTGTGAGACTCTGAACACCCTGTAGACCTTTCCCTAAAAAAAAAAAAAAAAAGTACATATTTTTAAAGAAGGTATTGTTTAGAGTCAAATTTCAGTAATTTGTTGGTTTCAGAGCTTGAGAAACTTTTCTAAATCAGTACAGGTGATAAGCAGCAGCAGCAAATTTGAAATGCCCTGGCCTAGAACATTTCTCAATTGGCATTTGCTGAAGAGTTCTTTCGTTTTAGAAAATACTGATTTAATTGGCCTGGAATGCAGTTCAGGCATAAAGATTTAAAATGTTCTCCAAGCGATTCCCATGTATATAGCTAAGGTGAGAAACCATTAAGCTAAAAGGATTTAATTCCCTGTCCTTCTTGAGCTGGCTTGTGGCAGCGGTGAGCAGCCATTGTTGCTTATCTCATTTTCCCGACCGATAAACTTGAATATGTGCGTTAAGCTGAGTATGTGGGAGGTCAGGCTCTCTGAGCTGGTGGAGGAACTGGCAGCAATCAAACTCTCATCGTGCTTGCTTGTTTTGAGGTACTAGCGATTGAACCCAGGGGCACTGAATTACATTCCCAGCCTTTTTTGCTTGCTGCTGGAGAGTGGTGGTGGTGGGGTAGATGGGCAGGCTCTTGCAAAGTTGTACCGCCTGGCCCTGAACTTGTGATCCTCCAGCCTTAGCCTTCCACATAGTTGGAATTACAGGCCTGCTTCACCATGCCCACCCTGGCAATCGTGTTTGCAATGAGAAATTGGCACATACTTAATTGACTTAAGGAGAACAGAACTTAAGGAGAGTCTCTGAAATTGTGACTGTTCTGGAATCTTAGCTATAAGGTTTCAGTTACCTTCCTGCCATCCTCCCCTTTCCTTTCCCCAGTCTTAGTGACTTAAGCCAGACCTGGGCGGTACTGCATGCTGCACCCTCAGGAACTTCAGGAACTGTTCTAGACCACTTACGTGGTGCATACTCATTCATTCTCAAAATATCTTCAAGGTAAGTGCTGCTGTTCCTAATGTCCAGACCAGGTGACTGAGACTGAGGGCTACCTGACCTTTTCAAGGTTGTAGTTTCGTAAATGCACACACCAGTGTTCTTCCTTGCCACTACCCTCAAGCAGTGACAGAATCTTTGGGCAAATAGGTGAACCCAGAAGCAGAAGTGCTACATTGCAAAAGGAGCCGTGATCTTGATTCACACATGGGAATATTGCTGGAGCTTGTTCCCCTTTTGGCCTTCACTGCTGCAGACTTAAGTGATGCTTGTAGTAGTTGCTTTCCCTTCTCACCATTATGCCCTCCCCTGGCTCCTGAGAGCACAGGGTCACCCCGTGTGCACCGTGCTATGCTGTGAACCCTGCCCCCTTTCCAGGCCTTTCCCCTGTGCTGTCCTACTTTATTATCATTAAGGACGGTAGTATGATTCTCATTTAGAGATGAGGAAAGTGAAGCACAGAAATCTTCATCTGAATAAGCACATTCATGTCAGAATCAGAACTAAGCTCAAGGGTTTGGTGTGTAACCTTTGTATCATCTTGAGAATCAGCTTCCCAGTGAATGTAGGGATGTTTCATGAGTTCGGGGCAGAACTCAGGATCTGTCCTACATCCATTGATGAACTGTCCCAGATGTAGTGAGGGGACATGGACACCAGCCTTCAGGAAGTTCTAGTCCAAAGAAGAGGAAGAGGCAATTTGCTGAGGAAAGTTTAACTGAAGGGACTCTGGGCTATACTGGGCACTCAACACTGGTTAGGGGTGTACCTTAGTGGGAGAGTGCTTGCTCTAAGCTCTGGATTCAGTCCCCAGTTCTGCAGCAGCAACCACAAAACAAAATATAGCCTCTACCTTTGGTAGGACAGACAGTTGTACACATTCCTGACTGCTAGACTGGCAAGTTCTGAGGTAGAAAAAAGGAAGGGGTGGTTGTAAACAGACTACACAAAGAAGCGGAATAGCAGTAGAAATGGGTTTTGCATTAGGGGAGAGGAATGAGTATGGGAAAATGCAGATACACAAGGTATGAAATACACTGAGAGGAGACTGGGGATTTTGATGTGATAGGACTAGAAGGAAGGGTTCCTAGAGGGCAGAGTTGGGAGGCGAGGATTGGCGAGGGAAACGGGAATCAGCCGAAGAAGGGCCTTGCGCGACAGGTAAGGGGTTTCACTAAAGGCATTGGAGACTGACAAACAGATACAGGTGGATGCAGCTGCATGACGCTGTCTGTGCAGGGTTCCTGAGGTGGGATGTAGGAAGAGCTGGCTGCCAGGAGAAATGGTCTGGAAATAGGGTAGTTGCCTTGGCTGAGGGTCTTTTTGTAGCCACAGTGTTGAGGAATACCCTGGCCTGAGGAAGTAGACATCGCTGGTAACCTGAAGGCCAGAAGGAAGGAAAGCAGTTCGCTAGAGCAATAGGGGTGTGCTGAGATTGGGGGCCTGGGTTCCGGGAGGGCCAGCCAGTTAGGGAATCAGTGGAAATAGGCTAGGAAGGCAGGAGGCTGTGTTTGGAGCAAGGAAAGATCTCCTAGAGCTTTTAACATATTTAACGTTCCGTGTGGAAAAAAACAGGCCACAGGATGACTCATTCCTTTATTTTTCAAGCTCTTTCTTAGACAAACTACTGAGGTTCTTGTTGATGTGGAGTGGGTGAGAGGTTAATGCTGCACTGCAATCGGGGCAGACTTCCTAGGAGGGACTACATGGCAGGTAACCTGGACCTGGGCAGACGCATGAAGGACTAATGAACTGTTTGCCTGGGTTGGGTGAGGAGAGGGATTCCACTTAACTGCCTGGGTAGGTGAGATCTGGATTAGAGGGACATTAAGAAGACCTGACCCAGTATAAGACTATAAAATTTGCAATTTTTCAGAATATAGATGACAGTCTATGTGATAGTACTTAATTTTTATTTTTATTTTTTTTATTTTTGTATTTTAGGGCAGGGTCTGCAGGGTGTTTAGGGTCTCACTACTAAATTGGATTCTTAGTGATCTGCCTGTTTACAGTCTCCCAAGGGCTAGGATTACAGGAATGCGCCACCTTGTCCAGTCTCAATTGCAGTCTTGGCTTGCCCCCAGGGCAGGGCTGGCAGGAATGAACCCTGTGTCAGTTAAGAACAGTCTACTTTTGGCTGAGCATGGTACCTTACATGTGTAATCCCAGCTTTTTGGGAGGCTAATTTATGGAAAACTAAAGCTTGAGGCCAGCCTGGACTACAAAGTAAGTGAAATCTTATCTCATACACATTAAAAAAAAAAAAAAAAAAAAAGTAAAATAAGCACATGCCTGTAATTCCAGCACTTAGGCTGAGGCAGGAGGATCACTATG